CGCGCCCTCCGGCAGCAGGCTGGCGCTGCTCCCCATCACCGCTCCGCTGGCCGGGCCAGGCCGTCAGGAGAAGGTTGATGGCGGCGGGCCCGGCCATGCTTCCTGTGAGCAGTGCAGGGGCTCCCACAGGAAACCCTGACAGAAAACAACCACCAATGTGAATCAGGGCTTGCTCGAATAAACAGAGGGAATATTTAAGGCTGGTACCCCCTTGTTAAAACTCAGTCTGAAGTTTTAAGTGCGTAGGAAACCAGTTTCAAACTTTCCCTCACTGGCTCCCCAGCCGGCTCTTTATGCGTAGGAAAGCGCAGTGTTGGCCAGGCAGGACGAGCCACCGATGCCTAAGGACAAGCTTAAAATTATAAGGCTCTGATCCCAAGCCCTATTTCGACAAAAAGTTCACAACCAAGACATTACAGGACGGTGTCTTCTGCAGAACAGAAGAGGGAGGAAATTTTACGCTCCAGCTTTCCGTCAAGGTTGTATGACATTTTCCTATTGCTCAGTAACTCCCCAGTTTGGTCTCTGCCTCTCCTTCCCCACAATGCATCCTGCCCTCCTCATTCAGTTTGCAGAGGTGGAAAGCAGCACCTTTTTTTGTCTTAATTAAAAAAAAAAAATTAAAACAAGAACAACACTCTCAGATGATCTAATGTAGACTAAAATGACCGTACTGAAGAGCAGGCCAAGATACTATCCCTTTCCACAAACCTTGGTCTACAGACCAAGGCTGTCCGTGAGTCCTTCCTGCCTGCCATCTCCTCACACCATGCAACACACCACACCAGACACAAAGGGGCCCCTATCGTGAATAGCTAATTATTGGACCACATTAAATTATTAGTCAAATTAAGATTTGTGGGTTTTCCCCTAGCCTAACAATACGCTTTTGACAGCAGCATTGCAAATACACTAGAGTAGGAGCAGCAGTCTAGCTCCATGTGCAATTAGGCCAGCATGTGGATCTTATTGCTCCTAAGGACTCTTATTTGATTTCCCGCACCACCAACTGGTGAGAAGTTTTCAAGTCTAAATACAGAAGAATTAGATCACTCTTTGGGGTGGTCGCATCTGGGGTTGGAAAACCAGATGGAGCGTGTTTTTCCGAGTCCTTTGTAATTGAACCAGCACACAAAGTTGCTAGGAAGCAGGCAAATACAATCACCGCTTTGGGGCAGCCTGCAGCAGAGTCGGTGCCGTGTCTGCCAACACTCGTAGACACCATCTTAAGTGCTAGCAGGGAAAAATGGTCTCGTGGGCTGGGGTTTATAAAATATCGTCGTGAACATGGACCTACTGCAAGCATGCAGGAGCTCTGTGACTTCTAAACATAAACACCTGCACCCACAGTCTTCTCACGGTGCCACCCAAGAAACATGGGAGATGGACGATTTCTTCAGTTCCCTAAAAATGCAAAGCTCGCAAGAGCAGGCTGTGAAACTGGGGAATGAAGGGGAGAGAGAGGGAGAGGAGGAGGGAGCAATAAGGAAGCTTCAGCATTTCAAAGCACAGAAAACCAACCGAGTACAGAGATGGCCACCACGCGTACCATTGTGCCTTGCAGGCTGGATGGAGCCTGTGATGGGATAAGCCGCCTCTGGAGTGGCCAGCCATCATCACTACAGCCAGCTATGGTGGCCGCTGAAGACGTTTGCTTCTGGCAAGGCCATATTGCAGAGCTTCGGGAGTGCCTCCTACAAGCAAGTGTCCGCCCTGGCTCTGCATGCAGCATCAGATATACCCACAGATCATTCCCTAAGTGGGGACTGAGCTATGAACACTTTCCTTCCTGGGGACCAGGAAGGTGCACCTGACAGAGCACAGGACGGTCATAAGTCTTTCCTAATCAAAACATGCTTTGTAGACTGAAGAGAGTGAGGGATGAAGTGGTTTTAATCAAAGTTTGGCCAGCAGCATTGCATACGCACACAGAGATATACGGCCTAATAGGACATGTAAATCCGTATCTCCGCAGCTACCTGGGACCTGTCTGGGAATCCACACCTCCACTACATCTAATAGGATGAACAACAACTTCTTGCATTGCTCCACCATTTCCAGAGAGGTGAATGGAGAAAAACAGCTGAAGGAACCCATCCAAATTTTCTGATGCAGCCTCCATTTCATTTCAGCCATTTAATATGTACCAGCACGGCAGTGTCCTGCCCTGCTTGGCTATTTGGAGTGATGGCTGCAGGAACATGCAAGCCAACAGCTATGCTGGAGAGCAGCGTCTGCTGCTTGTGAATCCTCGGCACTTCTTCACGCCTCTCCTCTGCACAGGGGCAGGA